CATATTTGCCAAGCAAGATTTCACATAACGGGGAGTCAAACATGACATCTTAGCACACACAATGATAGATTCAGTCCTTCTGAGAATTGACTCCTAAGTTTGTAAACCCAGCATATCAAACCGATAATAAACCACAGAAGCTAAATAGAAAAATACACGTCTAACAAATAATAGTGGGACTGTTTTGGATGCCAGAAAGGAAAGAAATCACATTAAACTACTTGTGTCTCCCATACCATGCTCACCAGGCACTCTCTGCAGAAGATGAAGCTCCATCACTCCCGCATGCTGCAGGATCTCTCCAGGAAACAGGAAGCCCTGTCACTGGAACAACGAAGCATGACGACCCGCACCCGCCTCACATCCCCCTCCTGCTCTGATAAGACCCCCGTGCTGCTGGTTCCTCTCACCAACTCCAGCGGCAGGAGCAACCTGCAGCTGTTGGCTTAGTCACATGACATAATGTATCCTATTTGAAAGCACAGGGACATAACACATTACATTTTTCATCATGTTTTTAACCCTGCAGATAGTATTCTGTCAGAAATAGGGACAATTGAAATGATCCAAGCACTAGTTCATTATCCTTCATTTATCATTAGCTGCTAAAGAACTAATGCTATTGCTATTTATTTATTTGAACACAAATATATATTTTCCTGATTTTGTGTAACTTGCTTTGAGTTCAATTATGTACTTTCTCTGTGTAATTGAGTTTTCCAGAAAAGACTAAGGATGACACGCTTTTTTCCTCTTAATTAACTATAGTATTGATGAATAAATGGAGTCTGACAGTGCTGTATCTGTGCGTTTGATTTCCTTGTCTGTGATTGTTTACTAAAACCCACAAGCGGTCATGTTCGTGTTACTGTAGGTCACAGCTTTAACTGACCATTAGCTGTAATGGCTTTGTTTTGCCTCGTTATATTGTTTGATCAACTGATGCTGTGTGGAGGATGAAGATGGCGATAATGACTCCAACAGTTTGCTGGGTTTAGATACCAAATCTGGTAAACAGGCACTTAACACGGCCTCTGAGATAACAAAATAATACAAGGTTATTATCGTTCATCTCCCAGTCCAAGGCTCCTTTACCTCCGGACGGCTCCCAGGTAAGGAAAGAGGAAAAGCAGGCGGAGGAAATGTTTACTATTATACTGAAACACACTCTTCTTCAGCCAATGAGAAATTCCCTCCAGGTTGCTAGGACACAACAAATGTGTGTGCTTTGTGAACATGTTGAATGCAAGCTCACAAAACCTTAGTCTGAGCTTCCTTTATTTTTGATCTCACAGTCTATTGATGAAGTTTGTTTTTTTTGTCTCAAAGATTTGATATTATTATTTATTTTTTAAAAACATTTATATTTTGTAATTGTGTGCTCATATTTCGGCAGCAGATTCAAGCTGTTGCTTTTCAAAATGAGGGTCTGACTGATGTGTGGTCCGTATAAATGCATTTATTGAATCATTATTTTGATCATCATTATTTTCTTAATCATATGAGAAAACATATATCCATCAATTCAATTTATAATTTATGTCCAAAAAGTCTTGATTTTATTTTTACCAAAAACTTTGATTGAACTATCCCTTGTTTTCCTCTTAATGGACTCATGTTGGGAATACCCACTGCAACCTGAAAAACAAACCTGAGAAACAATATTTGAAGTGAGTGAAGGCTGTGTTAATTTACTTTCACTTCGGGTTATAAATTAGGTAAATATAGTCATTACTTTACAAGTATCAGAAGAGTATGAACATATTTGTCTTTAGCAGTGGATCAATAGACTAATCAAACAGCCAACAGTCGTGTTTTCGACCACAGCAGGTCTTTTCTTGGAAAAACACTTCTCTGCCAGTCTGCTCTAATAAAAGGGATTTTCTGCTCCATTTTCCTCACCACAAGCCTTTTGCATGGCACACCCACTCTTCTCTTACACTCACTTTCACACACACGCACACAAACACTAAAAAAACTCATTCCCCGTCATAAAACTGTGAGAAGCGACACAAACAAGTCATCTTTTCCCACAGCCCAACCCGTCCTGCTCTCGCATCGACCATCAACTTCAGCACATTTACAACTTTACTGCCTGGCTCTTCAGTTCATTTAGACAGCCATGTGCTTCCTGACACGTGGAATTATTCTGAATCATTTCACTTAAGGGCCCAGATGCTACCTGTCTGTTGCCCTACACTGAGAGGGCAATTAAGGCAGACTGGTGCCTGCTAAATGCCCCCTACTTCTGCCTGAGCGGATGCGTTTCCTTATCGGTCATGATGTCAGTGCACCTCGCCCCCTTCCTGCCCACTTTTGTTGCCACTGCCTCCTTTCCCCCCCACTGTCTCAGACAGAAGTTGCTTCCATCTCAGAGATCGAGAATCCTGGCACCACCAATGGAGAATGTATAATGAAAACGGGATTAATAAAAGAAGAGGACTTGGGAACATCCTAACTATTTTTCAGGAAATCTGCTTTTTTTGTGTGTTTTAGTCAAGACGTTCCCGTCAGCTTTTCTAGATGTGTCCTTGTCATGGTAAATGACAGTGCTACCATTCTGTTGGACTTCCTGTACCTCTCCGCAGTGTCCATGTCCTAAACTGAAGACATGCAGGTGGATTACAAGGACTTCGTTGCAGTCACTGTCTATTCCATTACCTTCCTTCTGGGTCTTCCCGCCAACCTTCTGGTCCTGTTCGTGTACGTGCGCAAGGCCCGCAAACATGGCGCCACGCCCAACGTGGTCTACGCCCTCAACCTGTGCCTGGCCAACTTGGCCCTGGTGGTCTGGCTTCCTGTGAAGACTCTGGAGACCTTGCTTCAGAACTGGATGCTACCAGCACCCGTCTGCCCGATCTACAGCTTCTTCCTCTTCTCCTCGATGTATGCCAGCTGCCTGTTCATCACCGTGGTGACAGTGGGGCGCTACCTCAGCATCGCATTCCCGATTATCTACAAGAGATACCGCCATGCTCGGAACTCCTGCTTCATCAGCGTTGCCTTGTGGGTCTTGGTGCTCATTCACCTCAGTGTTGCCCTGGTGACTGAAGGAGGGCCTAACTTTGTCTCCATTAAGGGTGACACGTTAGAATGCTACGGCAACTTCAACGACACCCAGCTGGCTGTTCTTCTGCCTTTACGCCTGGAGATGGCCATCGTCTTGTTTATTTTGCCTCTTATCGTGACGTCGTTTTGCACGCTGCGCTGCGTCACCCTGGTGTGGCGATCAAATTTGCGCCCCATGGGAAAGAGAAGGGTTCTGACTGTTGCTCTCTCCACGCTGGCGGTGTTCGTGGTGTGCTATGCCCCCTACAACGCCTCACACATTGTGGGGTTTGTTCAACATGCAAATGTTCAGTGGAGGACGTACGCCATGCTGACCAGCTCCTTTAATGTCTTCCTGGAGCCCGTGGTCATGATGATGCTGTCGCCAGCGTCGTCAAGGGGGTTCATGGGAAGAATGTGTGGACGGCAAAGCCAATTCAGCCGGATTGAGGGGGGTCGGCATCGAGTTAACAGCGCTAATGGTGTTGCTAATGCAAGGACACCACAAACACTACTTGAGAGGAGCTAGGCGGGGGCCCAGGTGACCAAAGAAAGCCATGAGTGAGGTCACAGTGGGGGGAGGCCAAAGGTATCCCGGGAAGAAAATGTGACAGATCCAAAAGCAGGAACAGGATAAAAACGGTCAGCCGATGTGTGTACCTTTGAGCGGCTCCAGAAAATGTCCACATCACCACTCATCTGGTTCAGATACACTTAAAGTCCTCCTGACATATATCCAGCACATTTAGATGAAATAAGAAAAACAGAGTAAGGCTGTTTCGCCAACAGCATACAGTGTCAAAATAACCTGTTATGTCAATGTTTTTGATAATTATACAGTAAGAAGGAACTATGAACAGAGAAGGAAATTCACATCTTTGGAATGAAAAAGATTCTCTCAAAAAAACGCAGTAGTTAATCAAACCTTAGTTTTAAACCAGTCATTGGAAATCGTGCTTAACTTTACATCAGGTGGTCAGTGTGAGGACACATGGCTCCATCTGGTGTCTGGATAGGGTCTGCTCTAACCTCAAACTGGACAATTAATACACCATAGTGCTCGTTATCTTTCCGAAAGGGCCTTTAAAATGGGGGGGGGGGGGGGGGGGGGGTCCATAAAAGACTTCACACACAGGTGCAACAGATATACTGTGTTTTGTTTTGGCACCTGCAGCACGTCGTTCATGTTATTAGTTGCTCCTGTGCTCCTCTGATGTTAAAAGTGAAAACACTTCTGAGGCTGTAGGTTTATCAACAATTTGATGTTTGAAATCCGTTTTAGACTTCAATGTAGATCTGTTTGAGTACTAGTTGATGGGTTTCTGGACATATTAATTAGATAAACTGTCAAATTAAATTAAGTTGGATGTTTGCAAATGTGTTGTGTAGATTGTCTCTTATCTTTAAAGACTAAAGTTTATATTAAAATATGACTTTCTGTTGGCTAGGACACAGCTGGAGGAGGTTGTGATGGAAATACAAAAATAATTTTCAGTTTTGTTCAAATCAAGACAGAGTGGGGAACGTTTCAGTAAATCTGTTACTGTACATACTAATGTCATGTTTTAAATAAAGACTTGTTAGCAAAGCATCATAGATTTTAAATCAGTCTAATGAGTTGTTATGTTATTATTGAATGGACATCTTACATCTAAGAAAATACAATACAGCAAGAATTATAAGCAACATTCAAAAACATTAAACATCTAGTATCATTAATGAAATCACAGAATACAAATGTAACCTGACATAGTCACGTATTTAACAAAAACACTGTTTACACATCACCTCATTAACCAATGATATGTCAAAACACGCCACTGATAACTGGTGTCAGACTCATTTTACTACCAACCATTGACGTAGCTGCTGATAAGAATAGGTTTTTATTTTTAGATTTGATACCAGAACTTGCAATAGAGATACATTTGACTTATATAAGCATCTTTTATGTATAGCTTTGGGTATTATTTACAAAAATTCACAACTTCTTGCAATTTTTTAAATATATACAGAATACCAGAAGTGGGAAGTAACTAAGTACACACTTAAGTACACTATTGAGATGCTTGTACTTTAGAGTATTTCCATGAAATGCTACTGTGTACTTTTACTCCACTACATGTATTTAATACCTTTAGTTACTTCACAGATGTGGATGAATGATGTGAAATATAATCAAGTCTTAAATCAGACTTTAGTTCCACCTGGAGTAAATCCACCAGCTACCCTGCAGTATACAAAGTCATTCAAACTAGCTGCACCTTCACCAGCTTTGAGAACACTTTCATGATCAATCATTATAAAACATATCATATATATTATTCTGAAATGGACCAATCTGCACAACGACTACTTCTGGTACTTTCAGTATATTTAGATGCCAATTATTTTGTACTTTTACTTGAGTAACATTTTGAATGCAGGACTTTTACTGTAACAGAGTAATCCTATACTCAGATCTTGTACTTGAGTAAAAGTAGAAGTACCAGAGTACTTCTTCTACCTCTGCATAATCCGATAACGTTTGATTTATAAAAAGAGAAACCCTTATTAGATGAGGCCTCCAGGACTTCATTTCAACTCATTTGTAAATACAATTATAAAAGAAGGTGTTGCTCATTCTTTGCAGCCACTGCATGTTTGTTTAAGCATTGTTGTGGATACAGAAATCATGTTTCTGTTGGAACCTGGAGATGGACCTCTGAGTCCTCTGGTGGACACCAGGACACCACACAGATACATCCTCCCTGATGCAACATCTGCACTTCTCTTTGTCACCGTTAACGCTTCTCACAGAAGTGATCACAAAACATTTCCACCTGCATGACAGCGAACTTATGGCCGGTTGCTGGGAGATGATGTTTGGAGAGCGGGAAGAACAAAGCCTGAGCTTGTGAATTCCCCCTTATTGAAGGAGATAGCAGATATTCAGCGGGACATGCTTATTAATCTGATCAAACAGTCTGCATCGGCGAGGACAGCCGCACCGTGATGGAGAGCCAGGTTTATCTAGCTTTACACAGGTGAGTTTGACTATTTGAAAGTAACTCATAAGTGTGTATATCTATATTGTATCAGTCATATTTGGCGAAGCTATTTGGTGTTAAGTTTTGCAGAAAAACTGGAGAAGGTAAATGCTTTTAATTGTTAGTTCCCAACAGACTAATGGTGTACTTCAGGATATATTTTGCATACAAAGCATGTACAGATTCTTATTTGTTTGTATCATAGACTTCCATTGTTGTCTAAAAATGGATAAAAACGTAAGAAACTTGTATTTTGTGACAGGATATTTGATTAAGATGAAGGTTGGCACTGATTTCTTTGGGCAGACAATCCCACACACTGTCCTAACCTTCATTACAGAAACAAACAAAATAGTCCCTCACATATTAACAATTTACTCCAATTTGAGTTTACCCTTTCAAATGCTAAAACACTTAGGATTGATCTCATTTAAAAAAAGATATACATATGTATATAGAAGCAATTGGCTTGGGCTGGAGTATAGCCTTCCACAGACAGCGTAGAGAAGTTGGGAAGTGATGGAAGGCGGCTGACGTTTAGTCTTTTCTTCAATGTTTTGGCAATTAGTAAAAATACATAAAATACAACACTCAAGGCACCTGAAGGCAATTTAATGTGGATGTATGCACTATTTAAATTATGAATGAATATGATAGTAGTTTCTTTGAGTAGTTAGTTTGACATTACCACTGAAAAAGTTGACCTTTTGAGTTTAAGTGTACCTGGAACAACTTTAGCCTTTAACATTTTATGTTCTCAAAAAAAGAAGAAGAAAAGACTTCTGACTTTGTTTCCTTTTTTAAAATCTTTATATTAATTATGTCTTGATTTCCTTCAGGGAATGTATTTAATGGAGGTGACAAGTATGATTAGCAGGTATGACATTTGCTACAGTATGTTCATCATCTCAATTTAGCGTGCTAGCATGCTAACGTTTGCTTATTAACTACAGCTGAGGCTGCTGGGAATATCATTAGTTTTGCATTTGTTTGGTCATAAAGAATCTTTGATTTGATTACTTTTATCCAGACATGAATACAATTTGATTTGCAATCTATTGGAAGGGGATCACGAGTCAGTATATTCATCCTCTGAGGACCATGATTGTCTGAACAACATTGATTGGCAATTCATTTATAAGTTGTTAAGATATTTGAGTCTGGACCAAAGTGGTAGGTGGCTGCCATTACCAAATCACTATTGTGGCTGAAAATGAGACCAAGCTTTAGAAATGCCCTTCATAGTTATCAAGCAAAACTTAAACTTAAAAAAGGGATGTCTCTTTGAAATAAAAATATTTACAATGAGAAGAATTAGCCTGGAATATTTTCTTCTGAATCATAACTCGTGTTTTCCTGCCCCCAGAGTCTGAGAGTCCCTGGTGAGCCGCCATGGTGTGCAACCGCCTGCTGCTCTCCGTCTACATCGTCACCTTCCTGATGGGGGTCCCCGCCAACATCCTGGCCTTCTTCACCTTCTGCAAAAAAAGTGCGCGGCAAGCCCGCCCCCATCGACATCCTCCTGCTGAACCTCACCATCTCAGACCTCATCTTCCTGGCGTTCCTGCCCTTTAAAAATTAAAGAGGCCTTTGACGGCATGGTGTGGCTGATGCCCTACCCCCTCTGCCCCCTCACTGGCTTCTTATTCTACGTCACCATCTACAACAGCAACCCTGCTCCTCACCGCTGTGAGTGTGGAGCGATACCTGGGGGTGGCGTTCCCCCTCAGGTACACCCTGTGTCGCAGACCTCGCTACGCCGTGTACGCCAGCCTGGTGTTCTGGGTGGTGACCTCTCTGAACCTCAGCATCGTCTACATCATGCCCTACGCCCAGTGGAGCAGCGGGGCAGAGAGTGACCAGGACGAAGGCAGCACCACCGGTAAGAACGCCCCGCCTCCACATACCTGCTACCTGAACTTCACCGAGGAGGAGCTGAAGATCCTGCTGCCGGTTCGTCTGGAGCTCTTCTTCGTCCTCTTCTGCGTCCCCTTCTTCATCTGCTGCTTCTGCTACGCCAACTTCATCCACATCCTGTCCAAGCTTCCCAACATCGGCAGGCGGAAGAGGCTGCGGGCCATCGGTTTGGCGCTCGGAACGCTGATTGTGTTCGTGGTGTGTTTCGGGCCCTACAACGCCTCCCACGTGGTGGGGTTCGTCCGTCAGGAGAGCGAGGAGTGGAGGAACGTGGCGTTGCTCTCCAGCACCTTCAACGCCTGCCTGGATCCCTTCATCTTCTACTTCTCCTCAGCGGCCGTCAGAAGCATGTTGAACCACTGCGTCAGGAACATCATGGCCAAGCTGCACATCCTGAGGTGTGGAGGCCCTCCTCACCCTCCCCAACCCTCTAAATGAGGCCATCCAAGACTGAATATACAAGGAGGCACCCTTTCATGAAAGTTCTGGAGAAATGATTCATGTTAATGTTTTTGCAAATTTGAGTTGAACCAATCACTGTGACTAACAGGCGGCTTAGTGTCCTTGTCTCATGTCCGTATTATTACAGGTGAAAATACAACTAACGCTTAATGCGCACGTTTAGTTTTTGTTCTGTATCTGCTCATTCTCTGGGGTTTTTCAAGCTTCAATTAAAAGCTGTAATTTAGTGAATGGTATTGGCATGCATACGTTTCATGTTCATCAACATTACAGATGTCAAAAGGACCATAACATTTTGGTACCACCTTAAATGATCCTTTGGGATAAGGGTTTAAAATGTATTAGGAGAGTTCATCTCACGGATCCTACAGTATAGAACGTTGCAAGCCATTGGGAAGGTGGCTGGTTCATGATCAGTCATTAGATCTGAACCTATTAGTGTTAAGTCAAATAGCGGGTCGTTGCCGAGTTCATCCAAAAATGCATCAGAATTGAAAAACACCCATTGAATTAAGCAGTAATTTAAGTTTTTGGATCTCACTTCCCGAAAATGCGTCACAAATCTGGGGAATGTCACCAAAGACACCCAATTCATAAAACCTCAAATGTAAGGGCTTTGTCCTCAACGTTGTTACTTCAAAAATATTTTAATTTATAAATGGGAATACATGAATGGGGGAAATACTTACAATTATCCAGTAGTTGTATGCCTATTCAAGCTGTAGAAGTAACGTAAAAAACAGGAAATCGTGTTTTCTGTTGAAGAAAACTGTGGTGTTCCAAAGGGAACAAGTACCAACTTGCGACCATCGGGTACAGATGAAGCAGGTTCCATCAGGACAGAATCTTACTGCGTCTGGTTTAATATCATGTTCCTGTGACTCAGTTTCACAAGGGCACTGTTTAATCAGAGACGAGTGTTTTATAGGAGAGAGGGATAAAGCAATTAAAACCAGCGGACGTTACATAAGCAGGAAGTGGAGAGAGAACATTGGAGAGAGAACAGTGGAGAGCTAATTCGGAGTTATAGGCATGAAACAGGCGACAGCGTAAACAGAGATTACACAACGATGTTATAAAGTGTGTCTTTCAAACAGGAAGTGACTGATAACCGCCTCCTCCTGCCATTTCCTGTCAGTAATAATGAACGCACAGAATGCAAGTGTACTGCATGTACACAGATAACACCCAGTACAGCATTTATTCGTTTATTGTATGGGCCTACCATTTATAAACTAAGTTTTATGAATCATATTTTCTCATGATCCCAAAGCAGGTGAAGATGCTGATGCATTTTGGATATCACTTCAGATGAGGTAGCTGCTTATTGGCTCAACTGACCTAAAACCCCTGAGAGCATCATTCAGCGTCATGCTACTGGCTTCTTACCGTCTGACAAGAATCATATTTGTTTTAACCCCCTATTTGCTTTCAATTTAACTTCTACCACAGCTAGTAGTAATGAGATTATTAAAAAAAATGGTGGTCATACATTTGTTATGAAACACATGTTTAGGGCAATTGTCACATTACTATTGCACATCAGCTCTATTATGCTTAGGCTTTTTACTCAGATTTTCTTTACAGGGAAACAAAATATGTTATTCCATAATTTTTTGATTTTTGTAACTTTTTGTTGTTTGGAATCACTAAGAAGAAGCTAAATATTAACCTCGATTTGTTAGGGGCCCTATTCTGCAAATGTTCAGGTGTATATCAGTATGTATTGTCTCTACTTTAAAGAGTCCTCTCCTGCTGATGTTCAGGTGTATATCAGTATGTAGTGTCTCTACTTTAAAGAGTCCTCTCCTGCTGAGGTTCAGGTGTATATCAGTTATGTAGTGGTCTCTACTTTAAAGAGTCCTCTCCTGCTGATGTTCAGGTTATATCAGTATGTAGTGTCTCTTACTTTAAAGAGTTCCTCTCCTGCTGATGTTCAGGGTGTATATCAGTATGTAGAGTCTCTACTTTAAATAAAGAGTCCTCTCTGCTGATGTTCAGGTGTATATCAGTATGTAGTGTCTCTACTTTAAAGAGTCCTCTCCTGCTGATGTTCAGGTGTATATCAGTATGTAGAGTCCTCTACTTTAAAGAGTCCTCTCCTGCTGAAGTGCTCAGGTTGTATATCAGTATGTATTTCTCTACTTTAAAGAGTCCTCTTCCTGCTGATGTTCAGTGTTATATGTGTCTCTCTTTAGAGTCCTCTCCTGCTGATGTTCAGTGTATATCAGTATGTGTGTCTCTACTTTAAGAGTCCTCTCCTGCTGATGTTCAGGTGTATATCTTAGTGTCTCTACTTTAAAGAGTCCTCTCCTGCTGTTCAGGTGTATATCAGTATGTAGTTCCTACTTTAACGTCCTCTCCTGCTGATGTTCAGGTGTATATCAGTATGGTTCTCTCTTTAGAGGTCCCTCCTGCTGATGTTCAGGTGTATATCAGTAGTAGTGTCTCTACTTTAAAGAGTCCTCTCCTGCTGATGTTCAGTGTATATCAGTATGTAGTGTCTCACTTTAAGAGTCCTCTCCTGCTTGATGTTCAGTGTATATCCTATGTAGTGTCTCTACTTTAAAGAGTCCTCTCCTGCTGATTTCAGTGTATATCAGTATGTATGTCTCTACTTTAAAGAGTCCTCTCCTGCTGATTGTTCAGGTGTATATCAGTAGGTGTCTCTACTTTAAAGAGTCCTCTCTCTGCTGATGTTCAGGTGTATATCAGTATGTAGTGTCTCTACTTTAAAGTCCTCTCTGCTGATGTTCAGGTGTATATCAGTATGTATTGTCTCTACTTTAAGAGTCCTCTCCTGCTGATGTTCAGGTGTATCATTGTAGTATGTCTCTACTTTAAAGAGTCCTCTCCTGCTGATGTTCAGGTGTATATCAGTATGTAGTGTCTCTACTTTAAAGAGTCCTCTTCCTGCGATGTTCAGGTGTAATATGTAGTGTCTCTACTTTAAAGAGTCCTCTCCTGCTGATGTTCATGATGTATATCGTATGTAGTGTCTCTACTTTAAAGAGTCCTCTCCTGCTGGATGTTCAGGTGTATATCAGTATGTAGTGTCTCTACTTTAAAGAGCGTCCTCTCCTGCTGATGTTCAGGTGTATATCAGTATGTTGTCTCTACTTTAAAGAGTCCTCTCCTGCTGATGTCAGGTGCTATCTCGTATGTAGTGTCTCTACTTTAAAGAGTCCTCCTCCTGCTGATGTCCAGGTGGTATATCAGTATGTAGTGTCTCTACTTTAAAGAGTCCTCTCCTGCTGATGTTCAGGTGTATATCAGTATGTAGTGTCTCTACTGGGACGTGTCTCCATGCTTTAATGTTCAGAAAGCTCTTTATTTATACTGCAGCTCCTCTTTTCACCCTCTGTCTGAAACCAGAGCCCAGTTGCTCTGATTGGTTAGCTGGCCGGCTCTGTTGTGATTGGTCAACCGCTTAGAGATGTCCCACCCCTTAGCCTATCACGTATAATGTGATGGAGCGTTAGCCAATAGAAGCCAGAGTGATACATGTCACTATGTTACAGAAGTAAACAAAGGAGTTCAAGGATGGGACCTTTGCAGACCATTTACATGCACACAAACCTATAGAACGCACTACACAGGAAAGGGAAACCCCCAACAAGCATAATAGGGCCTCTTTAAACATGTGACTTAACCAGACCGTACACATTTAAATTCATGTATGACAGCTGGAGCAAGCCAAAGCTGAAACTAATGTTAAGATTGTGTTGACAGTATTCATGTGATAAACTTCTGCGTAGGAACATATTTAAAAAACAAACACATTTCATACATAGAGTATTTATTCCAAAAAATTAAATATGACAACCAAATAAAAAGGCTCAACTTAGGACCAGGATCAGATGAGTGTTAAGACAAAAAAAGGTCTTGACGTACAGTTTAGTTCTAAAAGTGACACCATTTAGTAATCAGGCAAAAAAGAAGCACATTAATATACTGTGAAACCCAAACATCGTTTTGTTTATGAGTATGATATGCAGCCAACCGCAGAGGGTTCAAGATTTATTGTTGTGGGGAAACGGGCACTCGTGGAGAAATAACTCAACCCCAAGAACTAGCGCTATCTGTAAACGTAATTTCATATTAGAAGATAAAAGACAATGATGCATACACTAATGGAGGCCACAGAAATGGATTGCAGACGATTGCTTCATTATTGCCGTCCACTTAAGATGAACATGGGGGGGTAATGGGTGTACAGGCAGTAAAGGGAGGCATCTTAGAAATAAATAAATAATGCTACATAAAATCTCAACTGAGCTACTCGTTACCTACAAGATTTGATTCTCTACAAATGTTTCGGGGTTGTGCTCGAGTGCCCACCCCCCACAGGCCTTTTGGTCCTGTCAGCTCCACACTGATCAGTTCTGCATATTTTCTGTTCTTGGCATATGTCCGAGGTATCCACAAACACAAAACAAACACAATCACGCCTTACAGTATCGTCATGTATCAATACTTATCAATGGGCCTCAGTGCCCTGTCTGAAAGTTAAGATCTCTTTGATTTTTTTCAGCACCGTCAGGAAAGGCACAGCCTGTTAACGTCGATCGGAGGATGAACCATCAACCCTCCTCCTCTCTTGAATATGAACTCAACTAAATTTGAAGCAGCACATGCATTGAGAAAATTATTAAAAGTGTAATGAGTTTTGGAGATGATACTAAAGGAGAGGGGGGATCTTTTGACAGGAGGGTTAATGGTTCCTCCCATCTCTTGACATGACAAGTCTCCACGCGGCAAACATCACACGAGTAAACCTATTGCATTATCAAATTTGGAAAAAAATACCACTATTATTAAACGCCATATCTCCGTACAGCCTCTGCGTCAAATAGGACTTGGTTAAAAAAAATAAGTGGTGTGTGCATTACATTAATATCTCTACATATAAATATATCTCAAGTCATACTTTTATTTTGAAGGACAAAAGGCTTTCCAGCTCTGCCAACGCCGAGCAGGAAAAGATTAATAAGGCTCCATATAGACTTTTTAAAAACAGGCAGAAGCTCGAGCGAACAATATTCAACATGCCCACGACTACATTTTCTTTCAAGTAAAATCAAATGCTGGTAATGTCTGACATTAAGAAACAGCTGCAACGTGACAACAAACACACAGCGGGACAAACGGTCGTGATATCTCAGAATTAAAAATGCTTAACCATAAAAACACATGCGTCTCTTTAAGTGCAGTAAAATACCATAATCCTCTTAATCTCTCCGTATTAATATATATGTATCTGATGAAATATTAAATAAATGTGTTTCTCTATAGCAGCTTTAGTTTGGTTGTGGTGACACGCGGCTAGCACAGTTAGCAGTACAGAGGTCATCAGCCAGGTGCTGTAAGGCCCCTCCTCAAGTCCTCCACCCCCTGACCAGGCACAATGGTTTGGTCCAAGAGATGAAACCTGAAGGCTTCCTCTGTTTCAACTGAACTGCAAGGCCATGACAGAAACACCCTCAGCCTGGGTATTAAAGAAAATCTGGCAACAGTGAGCGATTCAAGGCATTATTAAGAGATGAAGTCAAAATGTATCAGGAAAAGTGTTCCTCACTGCATAATGACACCGTTTTCTCCAAAATAGAAAGGATTTATTATTGTTTAGTAACTGGTCTTGAAATTATTATTACTATTTCGCAACCATCGCCAACCGTTGTTTTTGATTTTGAGGAATTTGTCGAGCTAAAATGTCTAACTTTGTGAGAATTTGCAACTTTTTTTAGTCGTATTTATGTTATTAAACAGTTTCTTTGGAGTTTAGACAGTTGGTCGGTCAAAACTATATATTTCCTTGGTATGTGGGAAATTACAACAGACATTTCTAACGTTTTATGGACAAAACACTTAATTTAAGGTAAGAATAGTCCTTAATTGCAGCCTTATTTAGAACCGTTAATACTCCTGAAACTGGCTCTGGAGATACCCAGCCCGGATTTCTTCTGAAAACAAACGCAACAAAAATGCAAAGGATGAAGAGAGTGAAATCTGAATATGTAATATTAGTTTTCCACTGGCAGTGAGTCCCCTCAGATAACACAGGAGAGTCTCTGCCTTTCCACTGAAGGCCAGAGACGCAATAAGTGAGATTATTATTTAGATTTTCTACTTTTTGATCTTAAAATGAGAAACTTGGTTCTTTTTCAGATCATGAAATAACAAATTAGTGCTACAAGAAATGACTCAAATCTACACCTGGTAGCAACTCTTTTCGGCACACCTGTTCAATGTAATCCAGCTCTGCCATATCATCCTTATGGCAGAGCTGAGTTCATAATGTCCAGTTTTTATGATGGTGTTTATTATTGGTTAATGATGCTGTAAATCACCACCATCACTATGACCACAGTAATAAACGATACAAATTCATAAGATCACCGTCAACCAAACCTGAACATTATAGCACCATAAACCACTTGTTTAGAAAACAATAGTGTTAGATTGTGTAAAATAATATTACAGGTGTACCTAATCAAACTGCCACCGAGTGAGTTCAGATTTTAAATATAGATTTGTTATTGTGATGAGGAAAAAACCTTCAAGGTCTACCTTGTGACCTTCATTATATTTCATGTGGCGGCAATTCAAAGGGCCATAATCTACACTAAGAATATTTAACAGAGAATTGCATTAAAAAACTATGAATATTGCGCATTTCCTTAAATGTTTAGAACTTTGTGTCCTTTAAGAGCAACATAATCAGAGAAAACTGTTGTCCTTGGTAACCGATTGAAGCATTTTTTGAATGATTTCCGCAGAAGGAAATCAGCGTGTTAAGTGGACATGGAGGTAACCACCAGAAAACTAAATATTTAAATGAATCACACAAACTTGTGGCTTGCGTTGAGGCGCACTAACCTACATAAGATCCTAACCCTTCCATCTAACCGATTCAGGCACTTTGATAAATCTCTCTAACAGACCTCACGTCTGCAGCATCCGTCCCTACTTCCATGAGGATTTCAAATACATTCCGGAGTCCAAGCTCACTTGCCAAAACGCACTCGAAACAAACCGTTTTACCACGCCAACACATACACACTGTCTGCGCTAACACCTTATTGCACCAAAAAGAGTTCTCCACAACTAAATTGGTCTGTAAAAATGGGGAAAAGTCAAAAATGTGTGGTCGTCAGAAGTAATGAACATTCTGCTCTATTGCTGTAAATTTAACTTAAACAGAAAAATGTGTATAAATAGCGAGAGGAATAAAAAACACACGGGAAAGGTTTGGTTCAACACGAGCAGAACTACGAAGGAGAGGAGTTTAAAACTGTCCATGGCCTTGTTTTCTAACAGTCGCGGTAAGGCATCCAGATACACAATGCCCCGTCGATGTGGCTTTGTTTAAAAATAAGAAATTCATTCAGCGTCTGAGTGCAGAGTTTCTTACCGTCAGAATGACTGAGGAACCGTTGGCTTAAAGGGAGACAGAAGAGTAACCGCTAAGGCAGCTTTGAGGAGAGACAAGAAAAGAAGAAAAAAGGGCGAAGCTTTTGTGTTTACGAGCGTACTCTAACAATGGCAATCACACATTTGCTCGACAGAGAAATAACACGTATAGTTTTGTATCTAGACAAGCAAACAAACATGTAAAACCGTCACAAAATAAACCAGCGACGTTAGGCTCAACGTGAGGAACGAGTCACTGCTTCGGCCTCCACCCATGCACCATAAAATCATCAGTTTTTGGATTCCCTGCTGCTCCGCCTTTCTTGGACACATGGGAAATAAACTGCGGTCAAAAGTGGAAGGTGGAGAGTAAAAGAAGGAGACAGAATCCATGGTGATGTAGAACAGAGGAGGAGGGAGAGGGACAGAGACTATTGGCTGGTTTCAGATTGCATAATGTGGCTGTAACTCCTCTCTGGCTTATTACATCCTTACTGCAGTCACAGCCGCCGCCATCCAGCTGCAGCAGCACGGAGGGGGGGGTTGGCGGCCGAGGAAAGGTGGAGGGAAGTGGAGGCTTCAGGCGAAATACATGGTGGTCAGTGTGTCGTGGTGGATCTGAACGGCCTTGGCCAGCGCCTGGGGGTCCCGGCCGTTACTCTGCCCCGAGACGTGGCTGCCCTCCGCACTGCAGGAGACCACAGGGAGACACGTGAGGAAATAAGGTTTAGCTCTAAATACAATCATGCCACACAAAAAGTTCTTATAAAGCACACTTAATTCAAAGTCTTTAGAAAATATATGTGGAAATTATCATTTACTACAAATAGAGTATAATATATTTAAAAAAAAAAATATTTAACTATATATATATATATATACATACACACACACACACAATAATAATTATTATATTAATGAAGATACATTTATTTACAATTATTTTAATGATAGTTTTTTCACTTTATTTTGTTAATTGTATTTAATTTTGTAAGTGCTCTTTCTGTGTCTTTTAACATTATTAGCCAACTTGCCATCGCTATGAACACGGAAATGTTGAGGACCCCAAAGTTTTATGTTAGAAATGTGCAGTAGGGGTCCCCAGCACGTAGAAACTGCCGGATGCTAACGTGCATATGTTGGGCAATTTGCACAATTAGCATAAGCTGATCAAAGTTAGCCCAACGAGAGTTTAAATATGGCCAGTTTCTGGTTCCAACTGCCATTTCTGATGATGAAAATGTAAGAAATGGATTTAGCATCCTCAATAAACCGCCAACTGTAGAAATAGGCTATAATGCTAATTAGTGCAACATCCAAATGCTAATTGTAAAAATTGCCCAACATATGCTAATTGCATTCTGCAGTTTCTATGTACTGGGGACCCCTACTATACATTTCTATTGTAAGACTTTGGGGTCCTCAACATTTCCGGGTTCACAATAGGACTGAGCTGGCAGATCGAATGTGTTTGTTATGTTTTTTGATTTGTTAGAAGCTTTGCAATCGCATGTGTTTTCATCCCTAATAATGGTGTTTCAGAATGATAATAATTTGAAATAGGGTTGTGTGAGCTCACCTGCACTCTTCACTCTCTACACAGAAGGACGTTCTGAACACACATATTGACATTTTCAGATTTACTAGTACTAATTCTAGTGCACTGTTTAGATTTTTCATATAATGTTGTCTAAAATGATTGCAAATCAAATCTCATTTCAGAAAAAAAGTGTCCCTCCCCCCTACCTGTCGTGCTCTTTGTCGACCAGGTGGTAGCGGGCGCGGAAGGCCACCAGGTGGGCGTAGTAGGCCGGGGCGGGGATGGAGACGGAGCGCGTGCAGCGGACGTAAGTGTGGCACAGCTGGTAGGTGAGGAGCTGGAACTCGTCTCCGGTGAAGCAGTTGTCATCCCACAGAACGTGGTAGTGGGACGGTCGGCTCGTACCCTGAGGGGTGAGGGGGCAAGCCCAGTTAATCACACCCGAGAGAAAGCAGCTCCGTGGAGACGAGGCTAAAATTAGGTGGAGCTGGAGGCCTGGCTGCTCAGCACAAGTCTATCTAACCAGGTGTGGTTGTGGAAGGTGAAATAACCTTTGATACTTTTCCACAGCTGATTGGTCCAAGTATACATAACATTCAGAAGCAGAACAGTTCATCATATTAAAGAGAATGTCAGCATGGCTTTAAAAGGTTCTTCAATGTGCAGTCAGTCTAAGTGTACTGCCGTATATCAGTCTATACAGTGAAGGTAACGCACACATAGGAAAGAATGACCAATATCACTGCACAATGTTATACTCCCCCAAAGAAAAAAGAATCTACTTTTTGTGTAATGATATCTTCTTCCTGCACTATATCAAATCCCTTTAAAAGAAAAAAAGGGTGTTTTCTTCTGAGACTTTCCAGTGACTTTGCCTGTAAGTGTGAAACGTACCTGGATTCCAGCGTGGCTGCAGAGGTAAAAGTCGAACTCGTAGGGGTGAGTGATGTCCGTGTCCACTGTGGTGCCGGCAGGAATGTTTCCACTTCGTCCAACCTGCAGGACATTTAACAAAGTGATTTCAAAGAGGGACATACTGCAAAAGAAATCCAATTGATATGCATGAGCAGCAGTTTCAAATCTTTCTTTGTTTACTCTCAGTTCATGAGCCTCTACTCCAAAACAATTCATCACAACACTTTATTTATGCCAGGAGAAATTGTTTTTTGTGACAGTTGCTCCATTTTATAACGTAACAAAACGATAATTAAATATAATGAAAATATGTTTATAAATATGTCAAATTAAAGTAAGAATGTGCACTAAATAGATATTACAAATACATATATTTATATAAACATAAAACGTAAAATGCCCAAGAAAAAAGAATCAATGTTTGTTGTTTTTGTTTAACATAACAAAATAAAAAGTGCATTTTTTCACTAAAACAACATGTGCAAAACATACAGTAGTGTATTGGTATGAATAGGAAACAGGTGGAGTAAGCAGCTATAATAAGAATAATAAGTAGCAGAAATATTGTCCCTCCTCTGTGTCACTCACCCGCTCATTGCGATCTGCACAGAAGAGACGTGTGTGATGGCGTTTCTGTACCACAATGTAAGTGATGCCCGGCTGGTACTCCTTCTCCAGACTGATGCAAGCCTCCCTGATGGCCAGCAGCTCGTAGTACAGCACCTGCACAGGAAACCACAATCATTTTACTAGTATGTATATAACCTGCAGCTCATCAAGAATGTTAGATCGTGGGCTGGCTTCATAATAAGTAAGTCAAAAGAAAGAATAGAGTGTGTTACATGTCTGAACTGCCCCTCTGACACCCCGTCCCTGTAGAAGATGATCCTGGTTGGCTTGTAGCGGGTGGATTTGTAGAACTGGATCAGGAGCTCTTTCACCATGGAGGCCAGGTCCTGGATGACTTCCTGTCGGGGCCTCTGGACCCGCACCGTAGCACAGTACCTGCTTGGGTGGGCGTCCATGCTGCCCACCACCTGGAAGATCAGACAGGAAGTCAATTGTGTGGAGATGCCAGTCCCTTACCATAAAGGACAGCTCACCTCCACCTCAAATATTCCCTTTCTATTGAAAAACACTAACTGTATTAAAGCACAGACAACACGTGTAGTATAGTTCCTACATCATACAACTCACAACAGATATGTCGATCATTTTAAGTGACTAGTTTCTAGTAAGATAAATGATTTTCAAATGTATTTTTTTCTTTGTGTACCAAATAGTTCCAATTTATTGAACGATTGTGAATTTTTGGAATTCATTTAAGAATCTGATTTTTTAAGAGTAAATGTGTTTCATGCTGGTGTGTGCGATGCATACAAAATGAAGACAAATGGGCCGTTTTAACATGTTTTTCTTACATTAGGACCTAACAATATAAAAGGAAACACTCTTCTGTTATTTCTAAATGTATTAGCAGGAGGGGAAAAAAGGCCAGGATTTTCAAACAAGTAGCTGTTCTTTAAAGTCCAAAATAAAGATAAAATGAATTTTCCGGCAAGAGACAGTCTGATATCAGTAGGTTAAGTTAAGAGCAAAATACAAGTTGTCCAAATGGCTGATTCTGAAGTGACGTCTCACCGCTGCAATAGATGGCTTCTTCCCATCTCCTGCTGGAGGATGAGTGACATCGGCCCCGAGGAAGATGACAGGCTGCTGGAACACAGAGGGTCTGCGTGGACAACAAGAGACACAACATTACCTCACCATCAATCTGTCATGGCTCAACACAGTGTTTTCACAGCAAACAGAGTGAGCCAAGAGAAGAACATGTCAATGTGACGAGGTGATACAATTATCTTTAAATGCTAATAAAAGGAGGCCGATAAGTCCATGCAGCAAGGTCCAACAAGCTCTTAGTGGATCTTTTCTTGCCGTGTGGATTTTACCGTTGGTGTGGAACCAGGATGTTGTTGATTCCTCCCAGCTTGACGTTGATCTTGAGGCAGAGGTTAGAGAGGGTCTGAGGGGACGTCTTCACCACGTTCTTCACCTGCACACACTGCGTGGCCATGCCCAGCAGGGTGTCCCCCACCCGCTTCACCTCAGCTGTGGGTCAGAGAGAGGGGATATTCCTTTAAAACACTGCAATCACTTTTAATGCATGCACTTACATGCCTCACAAACATCATACGACTGAATTGAGGCTACATGATGTCAGGTCAAGAGGTCAAGATCTCACTTTTCTATACACACACAGACTATTGTTTTATACAAATGTTCATTTTTGTACCATAGACGGGTGTTTTCCCCGGCAGGATGACGATGATGAGCTGCAGCCCGGCGTAGGTGTTCTTCAGGTGTCTGAACATGGGCTCCACGCTGTCGGCTCCCTGGGCGTATTTACAGAAACAGGGCTGGCCTTGGATTGGCATCCCAGCATCCTTTGAGATTTTACGCAGCTGGTCTGTGAAGCTCCTGAACATAAAGGAAGAAACACATTACCCTACATGACACTTTTCATTCAAAAGGACCAGCCTTATGTTTTTAACATCATCGCATGTTTATTGTTAGGAGTAAATATGTGTTCGAAGTGTATTTTCAATTCTCAGAAAAATAAATGTCATAATAACAACTCTGTTCTGTCATACTTGGTCATTTTCTAAATGTGTTTTAGATGAAATGCATTTGACATTTCTTATCATCTCATATCCATAAATGTTCATTATCCTTCCTTTAATGTGTATATTTTTTAGCACTCCAACTTAACTAAACTTATGTAACACTAACTTTTATTATTGTTTTTTATACCTGTCTGATTCTATTTTAGTTTGTTTTACTAAAACATTTTCTCATGGCTTTTTAATGACTTTTGTTAAATGTATTTAAAATGTCATTGTATATGACTGTTGCAGTTGAAATTATTTTCATGCTTACCTAAACAATGTGTGGCCTTGCCTAAACTAGGGCAAACAGTCATTCTGCTGAACTCACTTGAGGATCTCCTCTCTGCACTGCCTCTGGGTGGCGAAGCAGGCGATGGCCCACATCTTGATCTCCACTCCGGTGTGAAACTGCTTCCCCCTCATGTCCCACACGCCGTGGCTGGGCGTAGCCACCGTGCGGTTCTGCAACGACAGTGCAGGGTTGATCTCCTGGGGCTGGTAGTCACACAGAGACGTACAGTACAGAGGACAGGACAGTGTTTGGATTCAAAGGTGTAAAGAGCTCAGGCAGCCAGTGGGAGATCAAGCTCAAGTGATTCTTTGAAAAGGCCGATCATGGCATTAAGACTAATTGTTTTCGGATCAGGTCATGCATTTAGCGTGTATTGCAAGAAAACAGAATTGTGTTGCAGACATGCAAAACAGAGCATTTTATGAAAAAAGCTTCTCTTTATGATCTCTCAAAACAGCAAATATCAAAAGTTCATACGCATTTATAGAAAAAGATGAAAGAGATGCAATCAGAGTGTGAGCAAATCAGATATACATTTCTTTTCTTTTTAAGTCACAGGGTCTCCACAGACAACCGGATGGGTGTCTCAGTTTATAAATAGGTCATATTGATAACAAACTTTCATTATGCAAGAATCACACTGACTGATATTTTCTGGACCAACTGGAGGATACCCAAGTGTCTCAAACACACACATTAAAACACACACACATGCATATGAAGCGTGATTTAAAGGGAAGGTACCATAAAGGGTTCAGAGCTCACCCTGCCGCCATATTGCAGCATGGGGGCCGGCAGGACGCGGCCCGTCACCTGAGCCATCTCGTCTCGCACGCGGAACTGAAACTCCTGCACGAACGGGTCTGCCTCGTAGTTTGCACTCCGCACCTGAGAGGAGAGGGCATTATTTATTTTACAGGAGAAAAAAGAAGAAAGAAAAAAAGGAAGCTTTGTGCCGTTTAGTTTGATGAGCACAGGACACTCACCAGCCGGCTGATCTCCTCCTGTCGGTCTGGAGCAGAGCGCGCTGTGGCTTTGATCATGGTCGACGTCTGGTTGTCTGTCAGTTTTTTAATGCAGCGCTGACCAGGTACAATGTTGCACACCTAAATGGAAAATGGCAGCTCAACTTCAGGCTAATCACATTGCACATTGGTCCTTCAAGTAGTTGACTTAAAGTCCTGAGTAACTTTGAGACAATTACGTAACTTTGACGCTGCATTTTCTTTTTACATTTCAGTTGTCGATTTAAAACCATGCATGAAAACTACACCTCTCTTTCATGTTATAGTTTGACCTCATATTTATTTGTTTGTGTATTTATTCTTCCTTTATTGTACTCTTGACATTACTGAAAATGAGAACATGCCCTCAATAATTCCACACGTTTAAATAAAATAAATAATAAAGGTTGAACGAATGAATGAATCCCTCTTTTGATCCAACCTGATTCTGAAGAAATTACCATTTTGTTCCAGTTCATTCATTCAGCTTGAATTTGTATTATTGTTGTCACATTTCCCAAATGTTACTTGCATCTCAGCAACAATTCCTGACATTCTTTAATTAAATTATCCGAACAGATCTGAGATATGGGCTACTTTTAGCGGTCTGGAACCAGACTAAGCTTCACACATGCCGAGGCAAACGTTACAAGCTGTCTGTTGGATATGAATCAAAGATTTATTGTATATGACACCTATACTTGATTATGAGAAAATAGATCCTCTACTGTCTGAAACAGTAAACTTCGAATATTGTTTTACACTAAAACTGTCTTGTCTTTAAAACGTTACCATCCACAATGAAAAGAAATGTTTTACGATGTATCTTCCAAAAACTGATTTGACCAGCTTTGGCCACGGCATCCCTTTAAATGTCAGTCCTTACCTCCAGGGGCAGGTAGGTGTGCTTCTGCTCCTGGCCCACCTGCAGACAGGGCAGGTGGGGGTACTTGAGCTGCAGGCTGTACTTCTCTCTGAAGTACTGCGCCACGGTGCGTTCAACTGTCTGACCGCTCTCAAGCTGCAGCGGAAACCTGAGGATTCGAAGGCGACAACAATCTGTTAATGACAGCTTTGATTGTGAGTTAACAGCTACAGCGATGCGAAAACATACGTCTGGAGGCTGGCGGGGCGTCGTGTCACATTGCAGACTCTGTACTTCCTACGCATGGTTCCACAGTGTGTCACTTCCACTTTGAGACCTGTGAAGTCAGGGCAATAAGCAACATTTAGGTGACTGAAGCTTTTATTCATTAGAGTGGAACAACTGAGAGGGCTTAGATGCCTACTTGACCAACATTCAGCTTTTATCTGTACCTCCTTTATGCATCAAATAAAAAAAGAAACACTGAATAGTCGACAAGAACATCAACAAGTCAAAGTATCTTCTGATGCTATCACACAAAGCAGTGCATGGTCTCCTCGTACTGCAGCTCAGTGAACGCAGGCGCTGCCTTTCCTCGGTGACGTACCTTTGATCTCTTTGGTGAACTTGACCCTGTGGGAGTCGGTGAGAGGGCGGGGCTGCTCGTCAATATTGTGAATGTCCAGGACCTCGCACATGAACTGGATGACTGGCTGGGCTTTATAAAACGCTGTTGCTGACACTGAGGAGATAAGAGAGGAGATCAAACTGTTAGTCATGAAGGCAATAACTCAGGTGCAGCTGGATGAGGATTTATTTAGAGCCATGAGACACAGAGATTACCCAAATGGTACAGCCCAAAGCTGGGTAGCTTAGCTGAGCATAAAGACTGGAATCAGGGAAAACAGCTAGCCTTACTCTGTGAAAAGGAAGTATAGTCCCAATTCCAAACCGACCCCTACACACTATCACTCCGTTTGAGCGTTCGTGTGGAGCATCTGCCACATTAGGTGTCATTCCAAACCAGCCAGTGGGGAGTGGGAGTTATGAAGCCCCCCAACAGCTTAGTTTGCATCGACTTAACCAGCTGCCCTACCTAACCATGTGCAATGTTGTTTGTATCCATCATGAAACACACTGTTCAAATTGGTCTGTGCATTTTATTTCTATTGTTTTTACTTAGGATCATATAAACTTGTGTCTACAAAATGGTACAAGTCTTGTAAAGTTTTGTACGGGGACGGTTGCAAAAACCAAGCAGCTCATAAACATCGGATTTAAATGTGAAAAGAGGTTTACAAAAAAAAGAGAAACACTGCTAAATAGTTTTTGAATGTTGTTATAATTTCTTCTTTTTTTCCCGAGAGAGACTGATTTGAAATGTACGAAAAGTACATGCCGGGGAGAGGGGAGTTTGTCCCAAAGCATGCCTCTGTATATACACCCTCCACCTGAAAGAAGGAGCCTCATTCAGCTGAGAGCGGGAATGTGTAGGGGTCAGTTTGGAATTGGGCCATAATCAACCTCACAGGAACTCTAGAGATTTCCATTTAAGTCAAGTCAATTTCATTATACAGCCAAATATCTCAAAACACACATTAGCATAAGGCACCCTCTGTCCGTTTTTACCCATGCTTTGGAGAGGGAAACACTTTGGTATAAAAAAACCTGAGGGGGAAAAGAATGGAAGAAACCACATGAGGAGCTACAGATGAGGGATGTCTATCCCAGGAAAGACAGGGGTCGTGTTAACAGGATAACCCTAACAATTTAGACAATCCATATGATGACTTTGCCTGGCACGTTAACTTCTTCAAGTATCTGCTGGTTGATGGTGGTGATGACAATACTAGTACAGTCGAGCACATTCAAAACTTTAGTGTTGTTCTGAACCATTGGTTTTTATAAGAAATAAAGAAAATATATATCATTTGGTGAGATTTAGAGTAGCTTGCAGGTGGGGTTTTGATGACTTTAGAAAGAGCTCAGAAAGTTGTGTCTACCAGTTTTACGATAAGCTAAGCTAACCAAACGCTGGTTGTAGCCTACATTTACTTCAAAGACTTAAGTGTTATTATCTTCCAATCTAACTCAGCAAAAAAAAAAAAAAATATATCAATATATCATTCACTTTTACATATTTCCAAAAAACGATTCCTCTATATGCTTTCTCACCATCAATGTTGAGCATCATTTTCCACATGGCTGGCCGTACTGACTGATGGAAGCCGAACCACACCTCTCTTCCTCCACCTAGCGGGTGGTCGTAGCCCTCTGGGGAGGAGAAGAAGGAGCGTCCCACAGGCGTGTACCTGATGAGGTTCACAAAGGCATATGTTAGTGGAGCACACAAATAGACCAGGAGTTTGAGTTGCAGAGTGGTTCACAGGGTGCAGCGAAGCACTAATGCTGCCTGAGTAATGGAATCCTTCATGTTACTAAAAGCTATTTTGGTTATAGATTTCCCAAATGGCATATTATGAGGTATATTAAATCAACAATGTTTTTTATCCATGTGCGAATGTTTCTTCAAACCCCCATACTTAAAAAAAATCCACATTCCGCATCTATCACAATATATAACTATGTTGTGGTCAAAAGACTGAATAATAAAGTAATACAGTAGCTCCAGGATGCAACTATCCTTGGATCATATTTCATGAGGAAGAGAAATCTCTCATGCTTTATTCAGTGCCATTGAGTTCAAACTCTTATCTTCAACTTCCTGCCATTGAAACTCAATCTGTAATATCGTACATCTACAGGATATAGTCATCTTAATTATCTTGATTCAAAGAAACTGGTAATTATCTTAAAGAGCCTGTGACAGCCTCCCAACAACTACTATTATACTACTATACAACAATATTGGGCTACTAGTAATCTCGAACCGTCAGTTTAAAAAAGAAGTTGCGATACCGTTCCGATAAATATCAATAATTTCGAACATCGCGGGAAATTCCTTCGACTCATTTTGAAGTTTTGGGGGAAGCCGGAAGTGACGTCAATGCGGGAACGCTTCACTGTGCGGCGAGAGAGCCAAACACGGACAAAGTGTGTTGTCATGCGTAGAAATGGTGAATTACTGAGTTTAGTCACGTTAATAACGTTTTAATGAAGTTGACTACAGTATATTCATATTTGTCAGTGCTTTCATGTCAATTCGGCGAACATAAACATAAATGATCGTGGTGAAGATGATGATTAAATTAGGATTACAAATCGGTAGTGAGAGCTGCTGAATTTCCTCCCGTAGGATGTGATATAAAAACAAATCGATTATTTTTGTAGTTGTAAACTCAAGTGGATGAAACTACATTTATTAGTGCTTTCATGTCAATTCGGCGAACATATGATACATTAAATGATCGTGAGAATGATGATTAAAAATCGTTTGTTTGAGCCGGTCTGCATTTCCTGATGAGAAAACAAACCGATGCTTTTTGTAGTTGTAGTACACCAACATGGATTAAACGTGTGGTTTTTTCACCACAATGTTGGGGAAATTAATGGATAAAATGCACGGATTATTATTATTATTATTCCCACTCCGATCGAGACACTAGGTCCACCGTTTCCCCGCAGCGAGGCTCCCCCCGTTGACAGTTTACGTGGGCTGGGTGCAGTGGCGGACTGGCCATCGGGACGAATCCCGATGGGCCGGTACCGAAGTGGGCCGGTACCGAAGTGGGCCGGTCGGATAAGTCACTAGCACATCCCCCATAGGCGGCGCGTGAGGCTCAGGTTTGGGAAGGCTAAATAACTTTTTTTACCTGACGCTACCCGCCTCCGGCGTCTATAGAAAAGAGATCAACTCAGTGTGCGGAGTTTAAATCTCTCAAGTCATATTACAGGATAAAGGAAATACAGTTTAAACTGCCGTATGCAGAGAAGACGCCGACGTGTCGCACTTATCATTCATATTACATCATCAATCAGATCATCGATCATATAATATCATAATATATCATATATTTCCTTATCTGAGTCAGCTTCTCCAGCCGTGCAACACTTACAGTGTCACATACTGTATGCAGAAGTATTATTTTAAGCAACACATTATGTTGACGAAACACTCGAGACAAATGTAATTAAAGTCAGATCCACTCGTGTCTTAGATGGGGCAGCGATATCATAAAACTATACGCTTTCAAACACTCGGTAGTTATTTTTTAACCAGTTGTTCTGTATTCACCTTGCAGCAACTCTGTGGCTTGTATCCTGGATTATATGTTAAAGTCATGGATGTTTAAAGCTCATATTTGTGTAATATTAGTTTACTTTTCATTAATGAAGTATGACGCTGCGCTGTCAGTACACTTGTCCCTGTTTGTGATTGGTCAAATGTAGCTAACCCCGCCCCTTTCACGTGAACGCGTTCTCAGCTGGTGAGAGAAATCCTGGCTTGATTTACCGAGTTGATAACCAGCGTCGTAGGACCGCTTAGCGAGATCTCGTTTGTTAGTTTGTTGTGGTTAGTTTGTTTGTTACTCAAACATATCCAGTGTATGTTGAACTGGCTTCGTAGTACAGGGCAGAGGTGGCTGGCAGCGCTAATGTCAAAGACACAGACATTGCATTATATTTGTATTTTACCAGGATGCAGTGACACAAATATTTGGGAAGGCTTAGCCTTTCCTAGCCTACAGCACCCGCCGCCCCTGACATCCCCCACTCCCCCCGTTGACAACTTACTAGCGGTACCGAAGTGGGCCGGTCGAGAGTCCCGGGATGATTTTTAGTCCCATTCCACCACTGGCTACATGACCGTATGATCGCCCATATTGACGCACCTAATAAACTTCTAACAGATACAACATAAACCGATCCTTCAGCCTCATATGAGCTCTCAGACACGTTCAAAATTAAACTGTCTGAGCTGTCTGAGCTTGCTGCTATGTGCACCATCGTGCGTTTACATGCAGATGCTGGGATCCTGAACGGTGCAGCTGGAGCGCTGTGCCCGCAATGACATCACACATAATTTGGCGGGACTTGAAGAATCCCCGAGCAGATCCAGGAAATGGTCAACATTGAAGGGCAGATTAATGGTTATCAAAGTACAAATATCCAAAATCAGTTCAGTAACGGTTTTCAAGGGGACAATATTTACTCAAATTGATGGGTTTGGATGATGGGGGAAACTCGTGTCACAGGCTCTTTAAATATTTAGCTAAACTAAGCTCCTAATACGATTTCAAGTATTTATGCTGGGGATCAGAATTTCTCCTTTCCTTTAAATATTCTTATAAAAGAAAAAGTGTTTATTTTGAAAAACAACTCTTTGCAGAAGGGAGGAGACTCACTTCATGGAGGGCAGGTGTCGCAGCACCACGTCCACAGCGTGAACAGGGTTGGTGCTGATGGGTTTCTCCAGGTCCACGGGCTCGGCCACAGCGCGTCCGTTCAGGACTTCGTGCAGCATGTGCCAGCTGACCAGCGACACGAAGCGGATGGTGACTTTAAACGGGCGGTCCTTTCCACCGTCACCTGGCAGGGTGACATCCAGATCCACCTGGAGAGGAAAACAACTGTTATTGCGGCTGAATGATCAATGATAAAAAGCTCACAGTTAAATATGACTTTGGTAGATTTGGGTTTAAGGCTCTAATTGAAAAGTTGACTTGAGAAGCTATTCACATCATTTAACCATAAATGTTTTGTTTGTTTCATTTGAGTTTGAAGCTTCAAATGCATGTTGTAATTGAATATGCCGTCATCACTCTATACATAAATGAAACATCCTCAAACAAACCATTTTAATAAAGTATTCATTCAGATCAAATTAGTTGTTTATTTTTTGGGAATAAACTTTCTATCATGAATATAACACTATAACTTGTTTTTGTAGGGCGGAACACTAACAAATATGGATTGAAGCAGATCATTTTGGTAGTTATAAAAATGTTTTGGATTTTGGGAAGATCTACTTTCTGGATTTATTGTAAATGTTTGGATCATACAAGTCAAAAACAATCCTACGCAGCCACCACTGGAATGCAATCATTCAAATTGTATAATACAATACAAGTTTATTGTAAACATTATGAATGAAGCTAACCTTACAGCTATAATATTTGTTACAACCCAACTAAACTGTGAAGTTCTTTGTTGGCCCCATCAACTGAAGTGAAGAGTCTTACCCCACCAGTGGCGACAGGAAGTGGGCTAGCAGTGTAGAGGCTTCTCTTCCCATCGTAAACTGGCAGACAGTCGCCAAAGATGGTCACCTTGAAATGCTGAACCATGGAGTCCACCACCTCCCTGACAAAGACCCCGGGGAAGACCCACATCTCCAATCAACATCAAGTATGAATCTAATCTTACACAGCTCAAAGACATTTCAGGGATAAATAAAGTGCTATTGTTTGTCCTAGTGTGCAGTCTGAAGCTCTTCCTGTTACCTGTTGACCCGGCGAGGACACTTATCTGGCTTGATGTCCACCTCATACAGATAGACGTCGATCTTGGGGATATCCACCTGGAAGCAGTTAGCCAGAAGCTTGATGGGCTTGCCGAGAGTGCCATAGCAAGGTCGCCGTGGCAACGCAAAAAGTGCTTGGGCTTCAGCGGGTGCTCCAACGTCTCCTACAACGACACATGCCAAAATATGGTTAAAAATGTATGTCGCACTCTGGCTGTCTTGTATATTAGACTATCTACCTCGATATTTCAAAAATTATCACCATTTTTTACAATCGCTATACCCAGATCAGTAATCATGAACGAGATCTCCCCTTTCAGACAAGCTCAGAGAGGAAGGAAGTGGTAAATATGGAGGAAAGAGCAGACGCTGGGTGCTGGGACGTCAAAGATTTCCTCATGTCAAACTGACAAAACTGAAACAAACAGAGCGGCGCCGTTTCCCCCGTCATTCTGATAAAGTACATGTCAGAAGGTTACGGAGTTACGTGGCATTTCAAATAAATAGAGCTCAGCGATCACTGAATTCTTCTGAGTGACATGGCCTGTGCCAGACTGGAGGAGTGGACACACACACACACACACACACACACACACACACACACACACACACACACACACACACACACACACACACACACACACCACACACACACACACACACACACACACACACACACACACACACCACACACACACACACACACACACACACACACACACACACACACACACACACACACACACACACACACACACACACACACACACACACACACACACACACAAAGTGGAAAGTACAGTCGGTGAAGAGAAAATCACACAACCACACTATTTCCATAGATGTGACTCAGAGGATCCACACACACACATGTACATGACAGAGTCTCTGTTTCCGAGTGTTTAACTTGTAATGAAAGTACAAAAGTGTGACTGAAAAATAAATCCTGATGAATGAAGCCGTGAAATGAGTGGTACAGAGCAGCAGTCAGGCCCCGGGGCTGACCCTGACCAAGCATCACTCAGAGACACTTCTGTTTCTGCTGATGCATCCTCAGGTCGCTTCCTCCCCTGTGCCGTTCCTATGGTGATGTCGCCCGTGTTGCTACAGTTTCTCCATGGCAACTAAAGACATGGAGGAGGCAAACGGGAGCACAACAGATTTGTCTGATCTTCTTGGAGCTCCAGTCACCAAGGCTGTGTCTAGAATCACTCGCCACTCCCTATTCACTTCAAAAGGAATTATATATGGATGACTATAAAGTAAGCTCATGAGCAACATAAAAAAGACCTTTATGACACTACTTTGGGGATTTTTGTGTACTACTAATTACATTATTGTTGATGCATAATGTAAACCTTCAAGATCTACAGCTGCTAGTTTATCCATATGATGTACAGACATGTATTTCTGTGATAAAAGCATAATTTCTCTCAAATTAATAAAACAATGTGGTTGTTTGTGTTGTAGGCTGCTCTGCTTACATTATAGACATATTGTTTTACATCACGTTTCCTTCATGATGTATATAATGTTTGCTTAGTCACCATCAGTTGTACACTAATGTTCATGATTCTGGGACACTGAGTAGACTATAAAGGGTATTATATAGGGATGCACGATAATTATCGGCCCGATAATTATCGGTCCGATATTAGGAATTATGACGTCATCCCGATAAACCCGATACCAGTATTAATAGCCCCGATAAATACAATATATTTTTTGGGTGAAAAAAAAGAAAAAATACTGCGGTGTGGGTGGATTGGGATGAGGGGCGCTTGTTTTTCACTCGGCTCCTCCCGTTTTGCCAGTACTGTGGTATAATTAGTGGTTTAGGAAGAGGGGAGTTTTTCACAAATCCAGCGCTCCCTAACTCATGCCTGGCTGTGACGTAAATGGTGTGCGGCCGTGAAGCCAGGACAGTAAACAAACATGTCGTCGGTGGTATGGGCGTTGGAGCTATGTGCAACTCAAGGCATATGCTCGAACCGGAGCTGCCTGGACGCTGCAATCATGTTGACGCTGAGTGTGCTGACTTTTCGTACAATGTCCCACTGTCTGACTTCCTGCATAAAGTCAAGTGCTCGGCGCAGTTGTGGCGAAATGTCGCACCTCTGTTTTCATTTAAACAGCTCCGTATATCCGCTAGCTAGCACCAGATGCTAACAACAACAATGCACGTAAGGTCTCTCTCTCGCTCGCGCCCAGGGGCGGATCTACGGGGGGGCAGCTGCCCCCCCACTGTAGAGCCTTTCCCCCCCAGCTGCCCCCCTAACTTTTGTTTCCCTAAAACTGTACTAAAACAAACCTACACTATTTCCACAAGCTTCTCAAGCAACAAAACAAGCATTACATTAGTTAAAAGTGAATCATTTTAAATATAATTTTAGGCCCGTTAAAAACGCAGCTACGGCCCTGCATTAAACTGCGGAGCGGCGTTCACACAGACCGCGGCTCACACCGCTGCAGAGAGGGAGCGAGCTGTCCCAGTCAGCTTCCCCTGGGAGCATTTCCCTAACCACTAGTTTTGTTTTTACTAAGGACGAGAGCTTGAAACTAAATATTAATAAAACGCTGCCGTTTGAATCGATAGCGTTTAACAGACGGGCGCTGTTTGGGGCGTTACGTTACAAAATACTACGCAGACAGCGTTAGCTGGGAGATCGATCACTTTGCTAAACTACGCAGTAGCCTACTATTAAATCCACGTAAACTACACATCACAGCAATGAGGCCAGATCAATGAAACCAGGATACATCCTTTACTGTAAAAACTGGATCCAAACACAGCTGCCTGTGTGCGCTTGATCAATACTTTTGTTATATGATATGCTACTTATTAGCTAGGCTACATGGCCCTATCGCGTAAAGTTATACAAGCATTTGTACCAGTGCTTTTCACAAGTAGACTCTTGCAGGCCAGAGTATAGGAGTGATTCAACAACAACAAAAAGACATATGAGAAGTGATCAGGACGAACAGAAAGAGGAAAAGGAAAAGAGAGTTCACTGAAGAGACCAGGAGGGTCAGAGCAGGAGGAAGAGGAGGAGATGAAGAGACCAGGAGGGTCAGAGCAGGAGGAGGAGATGAAGACATTAGTGAAGAAGAAGAAATGTATGTGAGGAATAAAGATGAAGTATCAGAAAGAGGGACAGAGGCAGGGATCAGGAGGCAGATGAAACTCCAGCTGGACCACATGGTATGTTCTTATTCTCCTTACATATTCCATCACAACAGCACAATCTAGCAGCTCTTAGTATTGACAAATATTGATTGAAATGTGTTGCTGCACAGGTCACCTTCAGCTCTCTGAAGAGATAGCAGTGATGTCATTTGTGTACTTAATTATAAGTTGAAATGTTGAGCTTGTCAATCTTAAATCTGAAAATACAAAAACTGAAATATAGGTAAGAGAATAAACTGACACTTTTGTGATGTAATTCCCTCAATGCAGATCACACTTGGACTGATCCATTATTTTAATAGGAGGGTAAATGGTATGGCGTGACGGGGTTGAAACAAACTGAGGGACAATATTGCAATTTCATAGATAATTCAAGTATTTTTTCAGAATTTCTTTTTGATCAGTTAAAGTTGACAAGCATATGATTATATTAGCAGCAACATTTTGGGATAATTGGCCATTTTGATATTAAATTAATATGTAATAATGCTTAGTGAGGACATGCAAATATGTCTGTCTAATACTAAGTCTAATACTCCTGTCTGCCACAAGCGGGCGACAGGAGCGGGGCTGTCAGCATCAGCTTGTAGATGGTATTTTAAACTCGATGCGCTCTGAAACTACGGGGCGGCCGAGGAAAAAAAATACACATGCGTTAATCGCGTTCAAATAATTAGTGGCGTAAAAATTTTTTTAGAAGCAGGAAGTTATCGGTATCGGTTTCAAAAAACCAATATCGTGCATCCCTAGTATTATAATGCATCATAATTAGGGATGGGTATCGTTAGGATGTTATCGATACCGGTACCGCTTATCGGTATTTTTCGATACTTTTCAATAATTTGGTGCTCAAAATTATAGACATGAATACAAGATGTGAAGATTAAACAGTCATTTTATTGTAATGTTCTTGCAGAAATAACTGTATAACTTATACATTAGCTTCTCAGAAGCAGACAAAACTAAATAACATATCTTAAAGGGGCCTGGCTCGCCCTATCATGCTTTTTGGGGTTTTCCCTCAGACAGAGGATGAAAAGAGGCATTTTTTAACATTAAATTGTAAATCAGTTACATCTTCATCCAGACATTTCAAACTGACAACCTAGCTCGACAAGAGATCCTTAAAACATTGTCCTACAGTGACATCATGCAAAACTGTGATATGAAGAAATTGGTAAAAAGGCTAAGATGGCAAAAAGATAAAGGCGAGTACGTATATTATTCTGGATTGTACTTTTAAATCATCACAAAATAAATGATGTGCTGAACTGAAACACGTCAAAATGTGTCTGAAGGTTTAAACATAGAACAAAGTATTTGAGCTTAAAATATGTCAATTCCTAGTAAACGACCAACAATTGCTGAACCATACATTGAAACGTTGACCTTTAACAACATTTAAATGCAGTTTTCTAATTCACAATGACATCTGTAAGTTTAACTGGTTTATAAAGCATTCAATGAAAGGTCAAATTATTATAGGTGTAGGAGCTCACATGAATACACTGTCAGTGTTAATAAACTAAAAAAAAGACACGGTGATTTGCCTGCAAGACTTCACTCAGGTAAACGAACCATATTACCCGTGCGCAGCAGCTAACCTGCCTGCGAGCCTTCGCTCAGGTCACATTTACACACGGCGCGGCTGAAGCCAGCTAGCACTATTAGCACTATCGCTAGCAACCACATTGTTTAGGCCAGGGGTACTCAAATACAAATCTTAAAGGTCCAAAATAAATGTTTCAATAAGACAAAGGTCCGTTTATTACGGTCATTCAAACTTTTAAACAATTGCAACAAGATTCTTAACACGAGGTTGCAAAAACTAAAATAATCTGTATGCAGCAGTTTTCATTGTTATTGTGTCTGTGCTTGACCCCTCAGAGTCGCAGTGTAAGAGCTGCACAGTTATGAATAAAGGCAGCTGCACCCTCTTTCATTCAGCATTCCCATTATTGCTTTATAAATGTCTTG